ACGTATAAATTTAACCTTATTCAATATCCAAAAACTGAATTGGAACGAGAACAAATGAAGAAAATTGCTTATGTATCTCATGGGAAGCTTAATGTATACCCAAACTTGCACCAAGTTAGACATTAGTTTTGTTGTCAAAATGTTAGACAGGTATTAAAATAATCCTAAATGAATCATTGAAAAGATGTAAAGAAAGTTCCAAGATACTTTAACAAAGGACTACATACTTATAAGAGATCAAATGGTATGAAAGTAATTAGATATTCATATTTAGATTTTATTGGATGTATCGATATAAGAAAATCAACACTCAGACTATTACTTTATGTCGAGTAGTAATTTCATAAAAAAAATGCAAAGCAGTATGTCTTATGGAAGCTAAGTTTGTGAGACCACAATTTACATATTATGGCTATAGAATTTTATTTTAGGATTTGAGATTTTCGATAGTATTGCTAAGTCGCTAAAAATTTATTGTGATAATTCTACAATAATATTCTTCTTTGAAAATGACAAGTATCGTAAGGATGCTGAACATACGAAAGTAAAATTACTTGTCTGATCAAAAAGTTCAGAGAAACAAAGGTATTAATTGAACATATTAGCATCATCCTTATGTTTATAGATCCATTAATGAAAGAATTATCCCCCAAGGGATTTAATGAATACATCAAACGAATGAGCATTACTACACATCATTATTGATATAATGTTATATTCATGAATGATTTGACACTCTAAGCTCACTTATGTATTTGACACGATTGAAGCAGATGAAAGTTAATAGAATTAGTCTTCGATAAAGACATTATCACTGGACCATTTTGAAAAATATTATTATTGGTCATATTAAGTTATAACTAATGATATGGTACATAAAAAGAAATATATCAAACTAATGATATATAACTCTCATATTAGTGATTTATTTTAAAATGATGAATGATTATAACCATTATGTGAAAAGGATTTAGCATAACGTTTCGCCCATCATGATTTATTAAATCATAAAATATATTTATGTCATATGAGACAAGTAGAAGCACGTTAGAAATAATGTGGCCCACATTACCTTTCGGTACCTTTGATATTATTGACGATTCAATAAATGACTTAGATTTATTAAAGAGGAAGAATGGTTAGATATAATTCTGAATTGATGTCTTCTTTGGAAGACATCTATTCTATCATTATAAATCCAGAATCTGATCATCTCTTGACACATATATTAACATAAAATATTTCTTTGATAATGTATGTCAAAGTAAACGAGTAAAACTAGAGATATATTTATCTATTGTATTTTAAAAAAATCAGATTTCTCAAAAGATCCCTTCAAGCATATATCGATATTTTTTTCATTCAAAATTTATTAAAGTGAAAATGATTAAATCTAAAGATCATAAAGTTTATCTTGTGCACATTAAAATTTTATTTGTGTATAAATTTAAATGTTTAAGATCACAACTAAAAGATCTCACTGCATCTCGGCAGTGGAGCAACACCAAAAGCATCTTGTGGTGTTCTTCTTGAATTTTTTCCGATGACTCGTGAATTGTCAACTGCTCCTCCAATTACATCATGTCAATCATATAGCAGCAGCAGTGTCAGATGTTGTCGTATAACTAATTTGTTTCCTGGGAACCAAAGCTTATCAAATGTACATATGTCATGCATGTTTACCCTATAAAGCACAGAGAAACGCTCTAAAATGGTTGCAAAGTATGCCATATATAAAAATAGTCACCTGCTTCACAAATGACTTGGCCACCTTGCTCTATATATGGATGCAGCAAAATGATACAATATTTTTCAGATGGTCCACCATCACTATGATCATGGACTTGTTTTTAATAGCTATGGGAGACTTAGGTCCAACTTCGGTGTCTTGCATACGATTACCTCGGGGACCAAATAATTCCCCTAAGTGAAAATGAGGATTAAAGAATAACATCTCTCTAATTGGTTTGAGCAAGACAAAATAGAGAAAAAACAGTAACAAAATTATCCAAATTGCTCAAGCGAGGGGAGAATCGTAGCCTCCTATATATCAAATGCTTGGAGGGACAATGGTAACATCCATAAGAACATTAGAAAGGGAGAGAAGAGAGAAGAGTTTAGAGGGTAAAAAGGAAACTCAA